ATTAAAATTATTTTTTAAATTTTTATTGTATTATTGTATAAATTTTATTGTATTATTACTTGTACCGTGAAATCAGATCTGACTGGTACAGGAGGAGATTGCCCCCTCCTCCTCCAGCAGAGCATCTGGTGGATTTGAACCGCGTGCCTCTGGGATTGCAGTGCAGCGTCTTGCCACACGGCCACCAGAGCTCCCCTAAAATTATTTTTTTTAAAAAGATATCACTGTAAAGACTAATCTGCCTGATCTAGATTATAATATTTCAAGTGCTTTACATGCATGGGAAAGTTGGACAATGAATAAGGCAGGCCAAAGAATTGATGCCTTTGAATTGCAGTGTTGACTATACCATGAACTATCAAAAGAACCAAAAAAATCTGTCTTGGAGGAAGTACCACCAGGGTGCTCCTTAGAGATGTGAAACTTCATCTCACATACTTTGGGCATGTTGTCAGGAGGGGTCAGTCCTTAGAAAAAGACATACTTGCAAAAGTAAAGGGTCGGCAAAAGAGAAAAAGTCAAGAGATGAAATGACACAGTGACTGCATTGATGGGTTTCAACATGGCAGCAAAGTGAGGATGGTGTAGTGTAGGGAAAAGTGTGGGTCTGTGTTTATAGATCCCCATGACTGGAATTGACTTGATGGCACCTAACACATTATATTAAAAGTCTCTCCCTCTTGAAATTTATTTCATATTATCTAGCATAGCACTTGATTCACTATCAGTGTTCACTTAGTGTTTATTGAACTAAGTTTATCTGGAAAGAAAAAGTATAATTTGCATTGTATTCTACATTCTGTGGGATATACCTACATACAAACATGTTAATTTACAACTAGACTATTAAGATACAAGTTTATGTGAGGAGTAGAAAAGGTCTGAGACTGTCTTACTTTATAGTGTGTGCCCTTTGAATTTGTAACCAGGTACAGGTATTAACCTGTGATTTTAAATTGATAAAAGAAATACATAAAATGTCTAAAAGGTTAAATTTTTTTACTTTTTTCTATTGCAGCAAACTTCAAGGCTTCTGAAAATTCTCAAAGACCATGTGAGGAAACAAAACTCATCAATTTATATTTTTATGTAATTCTGAAATTAAGTTATAATAAAATTATAATAAACTTCAGAAAGTTATGCTTCAATTTATACTTCATAAAAAGATTATATCACCATAAACATGATGGTATATATACTTTCAAAATTTTATTTGAAATCAGAAGAGTTTAAAAGCAATATATTATAGGGTATTATGATTATCATAAGAGTCTGGAATGAAGGTTGCACAGTGGGAGTATACTGGGGGGGAGGGGGTAAAGGTGCAGGGGGATTGTATACCAATGAAGGAATTTTACTTTTTTTTAAATTTTTGTTATTATTTTTGTGTGTCTGTGTACCATCAAATCAGATCTGACTGGTACAGGAGGAGATTGTCCCTCCTTTCCCAGCAGAGCATCTGGTGGATTTGAACCATGGGCCTCGGGGATTGCAGTGCAGCTTCTTGCCACTAGGCCACCAGAGTTCCCCTGGAATTTTACTTTTCAAAGAGAAGAGCGAACTGGGGGTGGGGAGAAAAGTGCAACAATGAACAGATGGAAATCCAAAATCTCTGTAAATGTTCATTGAAATTAATAATAATAATAAATTATAGGGAAATCTAGTTCCCGACAGTTTAAGGAAAATATGCCAGGAATCTGACTGCTATAAAAAAAAGTGGCGGAATACAATACATCCTTCAGCCAAGAGATTCCTGTGCAAGATGGCGGAAGACTAAGACATGGTAGCATCAGAGGTGGGAGAGAACCAGAGACTGATGTGTCACAGAGCTGAACTAGATCTGCTACTTCAAAGAGCCAGAGCCAACTGCCATGTTCTTGGCTGAAATGGGCAGGAGAGTGAGGTGCATGACAGAACTAAAAGAGCTTGGTAACACTTGCCAACAGTGAATGAGCCAAAGCCCAGAGCCTTAAACCTATCAGTCGGAAAGGCTTGCTTCTGAGCATGCCCAAGAAGCTGTTGTGATTGAAGAATTATCTCTCCTGAGTGCTTCAAATATGAATTATGTTACTTCCCAGTGCACCCCATGATCATGAAAAAAGAAAGTGTAAAGTTATAATCTAATTATGCATTTGCACTTAAAAACTGAAGTTACATAATAATATCAGGATGTTAAAAGTAACAAATGTTTAAAATTTCCACATCACTGTTTTAGTCTAACTTGAATTTATATCACCATTAAGAGTCTCAAGTAGTAGAATGAACAATTATGGAATTGTTTCAATTTCAGTCACAGCATATGTTGATAATGAATACCATTGCTTCAGGATATTTTATATACTGCATAATCACTGAATTTTTTGCTACTGGAAATATAAAAATGGTTCTACAATAGTTTTTGGGGTTTTATTTTACTTTTTATTATGATTTGAGTAAAAGTTTACAGAGAAAATTGGTTATTTACATTCAGTAATTCATACTCATTTTGATACAATGATTGCAGAGGACATGTTCTCTAGAGGCAGCATTTTTTTTCCCTAAGTCATTAATCAACCAACAGGTTGTTAGGTAGCAGTACAGACCAAAACTCAAACAAACCCACTGCCATTGAGTCAATTCTGGCTCCTTGACCCTCTCGGGGCTTTTAAGGCAGAGAGGAGACTACCCATCGTTTTCCAGCACAGCAGCTGGTTGCTTCCAACCACTGACCTTTCAGTTGGCAATATATGTAAGGCAATACAACACCAGAGGGTGTTTCAAATGCAGGAGTAATGCTAGACATTACAAAAAGCCTGGATTGGAATACATTCATTTCAAGTAGAACTGGTTTTTTGGAAGGCAAACAAATAAAAACCAAAAATGGCATAAACCCCCAACCAAACCCACTGCCACTGAGTCAATTCTGCCTCACACCCTTCCTTCCACCATATTTCTTGAGGAACTGGTGAACTACAACCAGTGACTTTTGAGCAGTACAAGATGGCATAATGTGCCACCAGAGCCTCCTAAAAATGGCATAATAAAGAGGAAAGCCCTTGAAATTTAACCTGGAAACAACATTAAGTGAAATAGCAAGAAAGATGTGGCAACTGCAGATGGAATTTGGGGAGCATATTTGAAGAGCTGGGTCCAGCAGCTTTCCCAGGTATAGCCTAGGAAAACTTTTAAAAGTGAAAAGTCAAGGCACAAGTTTAAAACTAACAAAGTTCTTGGAAAAAATGTACATTTTGGGCCTTGAAAATAGTAGTGAAATAGACCGTTTGCTGGTTCAGTCATGGGGGCCCTAGAGCTTTACGGAAATTATCTTTTACTAACTGCTAGTTCACTCTTTTACTAACTGCTTCTATGACCAAAGCTGGGATATTGAGATCTGTTCAGGAAAAGTTAATGATAAGGTATATTTAGAGTTCGACAGTGTAAATGAAGCACAGCAGCTTACTGAACAAATTATTAGATCAGGAAATTATTAGAATAAAACAAGAATTAAAACCAGATGAGGAAGCTCTGGTAACCTAGCTGTAAGGAGCTCGCTGTCAACCCAACACCACTCGATTCACAGAAAGATAAGAAAACCCGCTGGAGGGTGAGCTATGAGTTGGTTCTTACTCAAAAGTATGTTAAAAGAACCAGAAATGGACCAGCCACCACCAAGCAATAAAAGATGGGCAGAAATGGCACCTTATATTTGCACTATTTGTATACTGTGTTATGAGAAGCAGAGATCGGAATGAACAGTAAAGCAAGCACAGAGCTTGGTTTTCCGAACTGCTGCTGTTGGGGAAAATAAAAGTGGTGTGTAGTAACTGTTCACTATCCCTGGCATAAAAAAAAAAAACAACAAACGCATCAGTAGAGGAATAATTGGTTAAAGAAAGTAAGAGGCAGTTTGTCGTAGGTCCGGCTCAGATTCTGTTCCTCTAGCGTAGTGGTGGTGCTGTCGCTATAGCAACGAGCACGCGCTTCCCAAGACTCCGACCGTTAGCGACTAAGTGCTTGGCCTGTCGCGTCCTACATACTCTGCCTATCGGGGCTGGCTCTGCGTCAAGGCCAAGGGCCTGCAGGGCAGCATGGCTAAGGCGACCACCTCCTCAAAGCTGGAGGACCTGGACCTGAGTGGAGACGAGGTAAAGCGGCTCACCTCCGCCTTCCAGGACCCAGAGTTCCGGCAGTTGTTCGCCCAGTACGCGGAGGGGCTCACCGACCCCGAGAACCGGCGGCGCTACGAGGCAGAGATCATCGCGCTGGAGCGGGAGCGCGGCGTGGAGGTCCGCTTTGTGCACCCGGAGCCGGGCCACGTGCTGCGCACCAGCCTGGACGGAGCTCGCCGCTGCTTCGTGAACGTGTGCAGCAATGAGCTGGTGGGCGCGCCCAGCAGCCGGCCGGGCTGCGGAGGCCAGGCGGCAGGCCACCACTGGTCGCTGCCCCACAGCCTGGCGCCGGGCCGCGAGTACGCGGGCCGCCAGGGCACCCGCTACACCGTCTACGATGTGGTCTTCCACCCTGAAGCGCTCGCGCTCGCCCGGCGCCAGGAACGCTTCCGCCACATGCTCAACTCTACGGCCCTGGAAGCTGTCGAGAAGCAGTTCGGTGTGAAGCTGGATCGCAGGAATGCCAAGACCCTGAAGATTAAGTACAAGGGGACCCCGGAGGCCGCTGTGCTCCGCAGGCCGCTGCCAGGGGGTGCTCCGGCCCAGCCAGAGGAGGAGGCAGGGAACCCTCTCCCGGATTTCCCCTACCCTTACCAGTACCCAGCAGCCAGAGGAACCTCTGTGGTCCCCCAACCTCACGAGTCCTCCCCTACGGAGGCGGCGCCTGCTCCGCCGCCGGCCCCCACCGAGCCTCGCTACAGCGTGGTGCAGCGCCACCACGTGGACCTGCAGGATTACCGCTGTTCCCGGGACTCGGCGCCAAGTACCGTGCCCCGCGAGCTGGTGGTCACCATCGAGCTGCCGCTGCTGCGTTCGGCCGAGCAGGCCGCACTGGAGGTAACGGGAAAGCTGCTCTGCCTCGACTCGAGGAAGCCCGACTACCGGCTACGGCTCTCCCTCCCGTACCCCGTAGACGACAGCCGCGGTAAGGCGCAGTTCAACAAGGCGCGGCGACAGCTGGTGGTCACGCTGCCGGTGGCGCTGTCTGCAGCGCGCCGGGAGCCCTCCGCGGCGCCGGAAGTGGCCGCCGACTGGGCCGGAACTGACGGCGCGGCCTGCGATCCAGCTCTACGGCAGGAGGCGGGACCGACCGAGGGTCTCCGTAGGGACAGAGGCTCGAGTCCCGGCACGTCCGGGGCCGCAGACACCAGGATCGGCCCCCCAAGTTCCCCTGGTGTGGAGTCCTCTTCTGCGGGCGCTGAGGAGAACCTTGTTCCCCAACTGGAAGAGCAGGCATTAGGCAAGCACGAGGGATCTCCACCTCCGGGACCTGGAAGCCCTGCTGAGGACGGTGGCACAGACCCTTGTGTTCTATTCGGAGACCCTGACTCGCAGTCCTCTCCAGGAGGTGAAGGTGCAGGCGGAGAGCTGAATGTGGAGACGCACGTGGCCCCAGAAGACACCTGCTGGGGGCCCACTGACGGAGTCATGGATGGACTCCGCACGGAAAGCGCAGAAACTTTGTGCCCTCCTTTGCAGTGTAATCAGGACGAAGAATCTTTGACTCTACTAATTCAAGTGTCTCGGATCTTGCCGCAAAGTTTTCAAGGGGATTTGAGCCCCTGCCGGTACAAATTGTACTTCTCAACACAAGACTTTGTGTATTATTCCGCCCTGTTGCAGTTTGCTCCGGAGAATAAATTGAGTACCAAAGAACCTGTGATTAGCATTTCTTCAAACAATGCCGTGATAGAACTGGCCAAATCTCCAGAGAGCCGTGGACATTGGAGACAGTGGTATTATGGTTTAAACAACGATTCTTTGGAGGTAACAGCTCTTTCTGGAGTCTCGTATTTGAAAGGTTCCATCCCTCTTTAATATTTGCTATTTTTTTTTAAATTTTGTATCTTAAACTAGTATTGACTTGAAAATGATAATGTGTTGCATTTGTTGGAAGACAGAGGTACATGTTAAGTGTTCTCACAGTGTAGTATTTTGAAGAAAAGAAATTCAACCTATTGCCCCTTGATGAATGAGTTTCAAGTTTTCAAATTTGCTGTAAGGCAAGAGTTGTTTTCCTGGATTCCCAGGGATCCGTGGACCTTTAAAATTGTTTGCCAAAAGAAGGAGGGTACATTATTCCTTGTCAAATTTTCAAAGGGTTTTTGACCCACAGTAATTTCAGAAACATTCCCTAATTAGACCGTATTTGAAATTAGTAAATTCCTTTTCACTTCAGCTACTTGTCAGATGCTGTCCACTGAGTTCTGACTCATGGACCTTATGTGATAGAATAGAATAGCCTCATAGAGTTTGCTCAGCTCTTGACTTTCCTTCGGGAAATTTCAAGTCTTGGTATCATAGTGAGTACTATGCAAATGTGAACTCCAACTCCGATGTGGCTTCATATCCCTTCCCCGCTCCACTAAATACCCATGGCCTTCAAGTCATTCCAACTCTTGTTCTGAGAAGTCCGTGAGTCGACCACTGCTCTAACATCCCCATCCTTCCCCATGCTCACCATCTCTGATATGCTTTAGCCCATTGTTACAGGCTCTCTGTCAGTCCATCTTGTGGGGAGTCATCATTTCTCTGAGTCTTTCCCAGTATGATGCCTTTTTCCAAGGGCTGACTTCTGTCCTTGCCCAAAGTATTTGAGTCAGAAGTTCTACTATCCTTGCCTCTGAGGAACACTCTGGCTGCACTTCCTCCAACACAGACTTTTTCATTCTTTTGGAAATCCATTGGATAGCAAATACTTTTATCTACACCACAAGTCAAGGGCATCGGTTTTGTTGTCATCCCTAGTTGTCCAACTTTCAGATGCATAGGAAGCAATTGAAAATACCATGGCTTGGATCAGGTGCACTTTAGTCTTTAATCTGATGTCCTTGCTGGTTAGTCCTTTAAAGAAGTCATCCACAATAGATTTTCCCATTAAAACAGGTCTTTTGATTCCTTGATTGTTGTTCACATTTGTGTTGATTGTGGATCCAAGTGATATAAAACTGTTGACAACTTCAGTCTTTTCTCCATTTGTTTTTATGTTCCTATTGGTTTATTCAACCCTGCTTGCTGAAAATGAGGAGGACCTGAAATGCTTGCTGCAGAGGGTCAAGGACTGCAGCCTCCAATATGGATTGAGGCTCAATGTCAAGAAGATTCTCACCACTGGGCCAATTGGCAGCATCAGGATGGATGGTGAAGAGATTGAGATTGTACACAGCTTTAGTTTGCTTGGCTCCACAGTCAACACTCTTGGCACCAATAGCCAGGAAATGAAAAGGCGTATTACCATGGCAAAGTCTGCTGTTAGGGACCTGTCCAAAGTACTGAAGGGTAATGGTGTCTGTCTGGAGACTAAGGTGCATTTGATACAGGCCATGGTCTTTGCTATCACTTGTTATGCGTCAGAGAGTTGGACAATGACTAAGGAGGATAGGAAAACTGATGCCTTTGAGCTGTGGTGCTGGAGAAGAGTATTGAGGGACTGCTAAGAAAACAAACAGATTTATCCTGGAGAGGGTTAAACCAGGCGGCTCTTTGGAGGCAAGGATTCTGAGGCTTCGTCTAATATACTTTGGACATGTTGTAAGGAGGGACCCGTCCTTGGAGAGGAGCATCATGCTTGGTAGGGTACAGGGACAGTGTAGGAGGGGAAGGCCCTCTATGAGGTGGATGATTCAGTGACTGGGGTAATTGGGATGGGTGTGTCAGAGACAGTGTGATTGGCACAGGACAGAGCAGAGTTTAGGACTGTTATACATAGGGTCGCTATGAGTCGCAAGCAACTCGATGGCACATAATGACAACATTGGTTTATTCGTGAGGTTTTCATATTCTTGGTATCGAAATATATTCTATATTGAAAGCTATAGTCTTTGATCTTCTGCAGCAGGTGCCTTAAGTCCCACTTTCTGGAAGCAGAGTTGTGTCATCTGCATAGCACAGATTGTTAAAGAGTCTTCCTCCAAATCTAATGCTACCTTCTACAGTGCTGTATTTCACTTATGGTGAAGTTGTCCTCTGCTGGGCACTACATGGTATTTAGATTCTTTTTTTATTTGTGTCTGTTGTAATTATCTTTGCTTCCCTACTAGAAGCTCTGGGCATAGTCTGTGGAGAGCTTCCCTGATAACCCAAAGGCAGACTGCCTCTGGTGGATCAAATTCACCAACAGATCCTAGGGAGAAAGTTGAGCAGTCTTCTGTGTAATACACAGCCTATATACAGGTATAAGTCGGTTCAAACTCAATAACTGCCATTGACCTGAATAGTAGCAATATCAGCTGTGCCTATTCAGGCTCTAAACTCTGTCTAGAGCTAAACAGAGTGCGCTATTTTCTTAGATTAACATTTTGATGAATAGTATGTGCTGTATTTGCGGCAAGCACCTCAGTGGGGCATCGGTTAGAGTGTTGGGCAGTGGTCCAAATTTACCACTATATGGGATAAAGATATGATGTCTGCTTCCAAGAAGATTTACAACTTTGGAAACCTCATGGGGTAGTTAATTCTACTCTATCCCATAGAGTTGCTATGGGTCCATATCTTTTTGACAGCTATGGGTTCATTTTGAGTTGATAGTTGTTGCTATACTTTTTAGGTTATTGGTGTTGCTGAATTTCAGATATTTAAACTAAGTGCTTAGTGATTTGTTATTTTGGTTGAGTTCTATGTCATTGTTACATGTAATATTTGTTCTTTTGACAGGCCAAAGGTCAAGTTCTCAGAAACAACATTAGTTGTACATACTATATGTTAAAAGTTTATTACTTGACCTTTGATATAACCTGTTAAAACTTTTCACCACCCTCCTGATGTTTTTATAAAAACCCATTGCATTGCAGTAGATTCCAACTCATAGCAATCCTATAGGACAGAATTGTTGTGTGCCATTGAATTGGAACCAACTTACAGCTGACCTTTTAGTGGGCTTTCACAGGCAGTAAATTGCAAGAGATTGCCCATCCATTACCGTGGAGCAGCCAGTGGATTTAGCCTTTGGGATTGCAGAACAACTTCTTATAAGTAGGTCACCTGAGCTCCCTCTAGAACACAGTAGACTGGCCTGTAGGGTTTCCAAGATGATAAACTTTATATGAGTTGCTTGCCACATATTTTCTTGGTGAAGCACCTTTTAGGTTCAAACCACTGACCTTCGAAGTTTCCGTTACCAATCCAGAGCTTAACTACTCAGGGCTTATTATTTTTATAGAGTTTGCAAATAATAATCGGGAGCTCTGGTTGGCTTGTTGCTATGTGCCGTTGAGTCACTTGCGACTCATAGCAACCCTATGTACAACAGCCCTAAATCCTGCTCTATCCTGTGCCAATCTTATTGTCACATCTACCCCACTACCCCAGTATCTGAGTCAGTCCATCTCATTGAGGGTCTTCCTCTCTTACACTGTCCCTCCACCTTCCCAAGCATGATGTCCCTCTCCAAGAACTGGTCCCTCCTTGCAACATGCCGAAAGTATGTCAGGTAAAGCCTCAGAATTCCTGCCTCCAAGGAGCAGTCTGGTTTCACCTTCTCTAGGATAAACCTGTGAGTTCTCCTAGCAGTCCATGGTATATTCAGTACTCTTATCCAGCACCACAGTTCAAAGGCATCAATTCTCCTTCCATCATCCCTATTCAATGTCTAGCTTTCTGACACATAGCAAGTAATTGCAAGGACTATGGCCTGGATCAGGTGCACCTTAGTCTCCAGACTGACATCATTGCTCTTCAATACTTTAGAGAGGTCTCTGACAGCAGACATTTCTAATTCAATTCGTCTTTTGATTTCCTGGCTGCTGGTACCAAGAGTGTTGATTGTGGAGCCAACCAAACTGAAGCTATTATCAATCTCAGTCTCTTCACTGTCTATCGTGATGCTTCTTAGTGGTAAGGAATTAATGCTGTCAACCCAAAATTGGTTCCACCTCGGCTTTATACAAGTTACATGTAGGTTTTATGAGTAGGGTTGTTTTTTCTTGAGATGTAGTTAATTTTAAATCTTCCTCCCTGAAAAGGTAAAAGAGTAAGTGAAAAGTATTTTGTGAGAATATGATAAAGTAGACTATTTGTTTATGTCGCTATTGTTGTTTTTTTGTAATGATGAGTTGAAACCAACCTATAGCTCACCCTCCAGTGGGTTTTCAGAGGCACATCTGCACAGGAGGAGATTACCCATATTTCTCAAGGAGCAAGCAGCTGTAAGATAAGGAAGTAATGGGCCAGGTTTATCACAAGAGCAGGGAATTTATTAAAGAGTGGAAGCACTTTGCAAGTGGAGGATATGGAGGACCCTCAGGCTACACATGTATGTACAGAAATCAGATCGATTACATTTGTGGAAAGAATCACTAGCCCCATAACAGCTGTGAAAAACAGGCCAGTTACTGATCGTGAAACAGACCATCAACTACTCATATGTAAGTTCAAACTAAAAGACATTAAATCAAATCCACAGGAACCAAATCTGTCCCACCTTAATTTCAAAACCATCTCAGGAATAAGTTTGAGGCCTTGAACACTAATGAGCGAAGACCAGATGAGCTGTGGGAGAATATCAAGAATATCATCCAGGAAGAATACACAAGGTCATTACAAGACAGAGGAGGAAGAAAAGAACAAGGTGGATGTCAGAAGAGAATACTGCACTAGAGTGCTGAGAAGCCAAAGCAAAGGGAAGAAATCAAGATGTTAAGGAGGTGAACAGAAGATTTCAAAGGGCAGTGTGGGAAGACAAAAGTGCTATAATGTAATGTGCAAAGTCAGAAAATCAAAAGGGCCAAACTCACTCGGCATTTCTTAAGTTGAAGGAACTGAAGAACAAA